TTGTCATTCCTAACCTTTCAGTCACTATTTTAATATTTTATTTTAAACTAATATGACTGGCAAATGACTACTCGATTTGTCGTAAATTTATTTGACGCTATATTTTTGAGACACATTAAGTGACGTAAACGGCAGAGTATTGCTGTCATCCAGCTTATTTTGCTCGATAAATCTTGGCGGTGTCAAATACAAGACGTCCCCTGATGGGGGATTTCTGACGCGCGTCTGTGCTAGTCAGAAGTCCCATTGGATTTCACTCTCCAATAGAGGCATTGTCCCTGAGCGCCCACCGCTGAGCTCGCACTATCTGACTTTGGGGTTAAGTTATTAGGTAGATAGAATACCTTAATTACACTCCTATTCTCTGTCTCTCTTGTGCTGTACGAGAAAGACAAAGACTTCTTGTACTAGTGTCTTAGTTTCTGTTGCTGATAAACTTGTCGTGGGTATAATGGTAAACAATGGATGAATACAAATAATAAATGAAAACTATAATAAACAAACGACAAATACAAATAAAGTCAAGAATATAACCAGGTCTTCCCATTGCTCTAGTTCAGTGGTTCCCAAACTTTTTCAGGCTGGCGCACCCTTTGGCTCCCTAGTGAATTTATAGCGCCCCCACAGACATACGCCTCTTTCTTGAAATTTAGTACGCTGCAATTTTAAAAGATAAAGGCTAAACATAAATGTGTATTTCACAAATAGAACCCCATTTAGTAGACCAAAATGTTTTTCAGCTGTTTTAACTGTTTCAGCACTAGAAACCTAGGACGTCTCGGGCGAATTTGCGGCCGGACTCGTGGCCGGTCTCCAAATTCAATTATCAAGCAATATCTCCCAAACTAATGAACGCAGCTCTATGAAACTTGGAACACGTATTCATCAGAACCCAACTGTGATGTTTAGCTCGTAATTTTTTTTTACTTTTACCTTCATTCGTGAGTTACGCGTACATTGCGAAACAGGCCGAAATTCGCAGTGATCAAAGAATTTCTACCAAACTATTAAACAGATTTGAACGAAATTTTGAATATACATTCCTAACTACCAAACGGTGATTTTTTTATCTTATAAAGTTTTTTTCGATTTTACCGTCGTTTGCGAGTTTTTATTCATTTCACCGTCATTCTTGATTTCACATTTCCTTATATTCGGCCCGTATCACCGGGTAATTTGTCACTTCAATTCGCGGCGATCAAGAAATTTCTTCTAAACTACAGAATAGATTTCAAGGAAATTTTGCATATAAATACCTAACCTCTCAACGGTGATGACAATGTCGTGACAATTTTTCTTTTTTGCTTTCGTTCGCGAGTTATACAGATATAGGAGGAACGACCGGATTTTCTACCGGCCGGTTTAACCATGAGCCTTAAACGTATAGCCGTATAACTCGCAAACGAAGGCAAAACGAAAAATTTGTAAACATCACCGTTGCTGAGGTTAGGTATTTAAATACTAAGTTTCGTTCAAATCTGTTCAGAAGTTAGGAAAAATTTATTAGTTACTGCGAATTTAAGCACGTATTGCTGTTTATATCACGCATGAAAGTGAAATAAAAAAACTCGCGAACGAAGGCACAATCGAAAAAAAACTTTCACGAGCTAAACATTCCCGTACGGTAGTTAGGACTGTAAATTCAAAATTTCGTTCGAATCTCTTCAGTAGTTTGGAAGAAATTACTTGATCACTGTGAATTTCGGCCCGTATTGCCATATAACAATGGCAAAAACAAACGATGGCAAAGTTCAAACAATTTTCACGAGTAAAACATTATCGTTAGGTCGTAATGAATACGTGTACCAAGATTCATGGAGATAAGCTCATTAGTTTGAGAGATATTCCTTGATCATAGAATTTGGAAATTGGTCGTGAGACCGGCCGCGAGTCCGGCCGTTAATTTGTCCGAGACTGAAAAATTTAGAACTAGCAATAAATGAACAACAAAATCAGAATATAATGCAACCAAGAAAAATTAATAATAGACTGATAATCATAATAACGAACCCCTCTAAATACCAACACTGAATTATTGAAACGAAAAACTATCACAAAATACACAGACGTAATGTTAAGTTAACGCGCACCTCCGTGATGGATCACACAGCAGTGAATAAGTGCAGAGCATATCTGAACGATCGAGGTCACGTCCCAGGTGACTTAAAACCAAAAATCAGAATACCTAATGTGTAATAAAAACATTATTGCACTGCGTCCCCTAACAACCTGTCCCTAGCTCATATAGTCGCATGTCCTTGTCACTTCGTCTTTTTGAAATACTAGCGCTGTTTCTTTCAAGCCAGCTTCAGCGGGCAGGTCACTTGAAATCTTCCGCTCCTTGTGCGTGATGACTAATTTGTAAATTTTTATTATAATTATGACCTTCCGTTTTGCTGTTATATAAACACAGCAACCGTTCTGCTTCCTGTTTATGTAACAGCAACCTTCCGTTCCACTTTGATGTTAATTTTTGATCTCCTTTGCGACAGCAAACCATCCCACTACCACTACTACTAGTACGGGTACATACAAAATGTGGTAGCATCCCTGTCAATATCTACTTAATATTGCAAATTTTTTGTATATATATTTGCTAATATATATTGAACAGTTAATGGTTCTTCATTCTGCTTGTGTGTAGGTATGTACCTATGTTAAAAGTTGGGTTATAATTTTCCTTAATAATTCCGTATTCTGGAACAGGTAAAAATTCGGGTTTATCTTCCACTTTTCGACAATTTGATAATCTAATTAAATTCAATTGATAAAAGGGCAATTTTGCAATATTTTCGGATGTCAGATTTTTCTTTAATATAGCTTATAAATTTCAGACTAAATGTATTCAAGCAAGCCCGCTAAGAACGTGTTCAATGATATGATTGATAAATTGTCGGATTTATCATGGTGTATATATACATATATTGTACGGTATATAGAAGCGAAGCTTATTTTTTAAGAGTGTCGAATTTTTGGGGCCAAAAAGTATGACATTCACAGATATGCATCTTTTATTAACTCCAAACTAATTTTCTGCCTTTATCTGTGTTCTAGATTTATCGAACTGACGATGGAGCTGGTCTCCGAAACGTTTTCAATAGAGATATGCTAAATTTTTGTGGTGTTTTCTTCGCTTTTAAATTTCTAGTGAACCTGCGATTAAAGCAATCTAGTGACTATTTTAATTATTCACAGATATGATTTGCTTGTTGTTGACTAAAGTATTTGCTTTCTTTAATTAAACATAACGCGTCTCTAAACTTTTATTGCCCGCGCAAAACTTATCCTGCAGGATTATTTCCGATGTTCCTGATGGCGGGCCATTTGAAATTTAGCATGGCACAGGTGAGCGATATTTAACTTGGTTTTTAGGGGAGTATTAAAACGGAACTAGGCACAAAAGAGTACAATTAAAATTTTTATTTTGATTTATTACACTTCAAAATAGCTTCATTGAGCTAACTCTTGATAAGTATTGTTTGTATATTTGTATTGTTTCTGATAGATTTTCATCCTCTAGAACCAGAAATGCTTCATAGAGGCAAATAGTTGCTAAAATGAATATTCGAACGCTATTACTACTCAGGGTAAATTTCGTAATTCGCAAAAGTCACAGATATTGATTATTATTCAATCACATCAGCGTCGATCAAATAAACCGTAAAAATGTTAAATATTTCCTATGGATCTCATGGAAAATTCTAATTCCGATAGTTACACTGCACGAGAAACAATTGCGAAAATTCTAAATGTTCCTTTCTTCTGTTAAACCGCGCAAATATTCGTATTCCATGCGCTGGGGAAATCTCTCGCAAAACTTTCGCTCATGCCACTATTATATTTTAAATAGCTCATGAATGCCATGCCCGACAACTATCATTTCACATCCTTTCATTTTTAACGCAGGTACTTCGTGTTTTGAATCATATATAGAATTTAAAACCTATGCCTGATCAAGTTTCATTAGTTGGCATCATTCTAAAGTCAACAGAATGTGAAGGTTTTAAATTTGTAGAGAAACTCAAGGAAACTTGAGCTGAACATAACATACTCAATGCATTAAAAAGATGACTATGAAACTTTAAAGGTTGTGCAGGTTTTGTGCGTTAATTTTTAACAGCTTTGTACCCTATTGGACCATAGCTAACCTGAAACGCAGACAAAAACCAGCAAATAATCGATAGAAGCTTATCGTTGATGACCTTAACGAGGTGTGGCTGAAGCGGTTCACTATCAGAACACATTAAGTGTCGGCCTAACGTTCCGATATCAGGTTCATTAAAACCTTAAACAATAATGCCAAGGTAAATCCTTGACACTGAGGCTTACTGCTCGATTCACTTTCATCTTTCGATCTAATGCCAAGCACTTTTGCATGAGCATCTTATTTTGTTAACCAAGGCAACTGGTTTATCTCTTAACCTTTTTTTGCATGCACCTAGCACCTATATAATGAACGCTTGGCGTAGCCAGTTCATCATTCGATCAAACGGATCCCGAACAGTCAACATGAAATTCGTAAGTCTCTACTTTGTAAATTTGTAAGTTTCTACCTTGAAATTTGTAAGTCTCTATACAACTTGCGTCTTATGAACGTGTTGTTTCAATTTGTACTGCTGGCTCCAACACAATTTAAAGTTTGCGTAACCTGTAAAATAATCATTTTTGCATTACTAACTCGTTGGAGAAATTGACAAGTTTGTGGTATCGCTTATCAGGTAAATTTTCTTATGTCAAGATGAAGGTATCATTTGTCATTATTGATTCCTGTGCATATAACTGTAATATCAGAATCTGTGAATAACTAAATTAAAGCTTGAAAGTAAATTTGCACTCGAAAAGGTCGTACGACTACACTATAATAACTTTAGCGACATTTAAATCTTTAGACAAAAGTTTATATGTCATTCTAACTACACCGAAAAATTATTTTTCGATAGGTCATATTTGCCACCGTCCTCGCCCTCGCGGCCGCTAGACCCGACAAGCCCTCCGACGAAGTCACCATCGTTCGTGACGACCGCGTGTACCCCAGCGCCAGCGGCGAGTACAGCCTCGACTTCGAGACCAGCGACGGAACCCACATCTCCGAGTCTGGTGATGGCACTGGCCCCGATGGCGCCGTCGAGTCCCAGGGAACCGTCCGCTTCGTCCACCCCGACGGTGAGAGCTTCGAGCTGAAATACGTCGCCAACGCCGAGGGAGGATACCAGCCCGAGTCCGATGCCCTGCCCGTGGCTCCTGAATTCCCCCACGAGATCCCCCAGTTCGTCCTCGACCAGATCGCCTTCGCTGCTCGTGAAGACGCTGAGCGCGACGAGAGTGAATAATATCACATATTCAATGAATATGTAATCCATTATCATTTTACGACGATGCTGATGTACAAGACTGAATTTTAAATCGAAATTAGCATTTCGATTGCCGTACGAAACGACTTGTGTACAATCTGTTATGTTGTATATTTATTAAAATTCCAATCTTATGAAAGCCTGGTATTTTATTGCTCCAAAACATACCCGATGATTCGAAGCTTCATTGTGAATGAATTCATATTCAGAATATTGTCAGAAGCATGTTTGGGATGTTTAGGCTTTTTTTGCAGTGCCAAAGGCATCTGTAACAATATTTTTTATCGTTGTTGCCCTTATTAAAATCCAAGTTTGGCCCTTATCCAAATGATGATGCATTTATATGCATTTATATATCATGAAAATTTCTCCAATATTTATTAAAACGTAATTTCGTTAGAGAGTCAGATAGAAAGAAATAAGTAAAGAAATAAAGATTCAGAGTACAGTTAAACGATTTTCAAGATGGTAATCAACATCTGAGGTAGCTTTACTACATTATTTATGTATTCCCGGACTAGTCATTCAAGCTTCAGTTAAATGCTGCTTGAGAATAACGGAATGTTTTTGGTCGAAATAATTCGTATTATTTTGCTGAAAATTCGAGAAAAATATTGTGTTCACTGCAACAGTTATTTTTTAGTGAGCCATTACGAAATTACTTTTTTACATTCAAAATAAAATTGTTCTTGAAGTATTTAGTTGATATGTCTCGAGTCCCTTCATTACTTAGACTGCAAAGTGTCCCAGTACTTTACCTCATCTTTGAATTATTAATGCCTGCGTTGGTTTTAGATTTTTAATAAATTCATGTCTTAGCAGCTGCTGTATCTTAACTTTGCACGAAAATATAGGCCGCATCGCTGCTGACATGAGCAAATTGAATGAGGTTTGCAAGGCGTAGCGGCACAAATTAACGACCTGTCAGAAGTGAAGTGACCACATCATCAGCGTACTCTTATTCTTGCAAATAAAAAGCAACTATCAAAGGCGTGCATGATGAGTACGTTGCTAATCTTTTCTATGACTCATTGCCACGTCAATATATACTGTCTCCATATATTAGGGAAGACGTGCATGTGATTACAATGGAAATACATGGTAGGAGATTTTTTAAAGGAATGATATTCGAATATCGTCGATATTTTTGCCTTCACGATTTTTTCTACTTCGAATGTGCCAACATGTTAAAAGACAACATTGGAAACATTCCCCTTTTATATAGCAAAGTTGTAAGTACCATGAATCATGCTACCGAAAACTTATTTTCATCCTATAATACAGCTTATATAACCTATTTTAAATCTTTTCAATAAATAAAAATAATTATTTTAGATTAATGGACGTGATTTTGATGAAGATTTTCGACACAGCCACTGCCTTAATATTATGTGCTTGAAATTATAGTTTACATAAGATAGTGTTATCACAGAAAACTTCTTTTGTTCCACTGACAAAAAAAGTTGCTCAACAACTTCGATGTGCCCTTTGAAGCTCAAAGATTATCATGAGCTTCGTCTGAACTGTGCATTTTTTCCAGGTTTATGTAGTTCATTGCACTAATGTATTTGTATGAGTAAAAACCTTTATGAAACACCATTTTAATCAAATATTGTCATTTCTTGCGGCCTTAGTCACTCGTCTGAGAATTGTCAAATGCCAAATGATCGTCAAATGAAAAGCTTCTATCATTTGTATTAACTTAATCGCTTTAAGCATTCCTTCTTTGCAAGCTTATTTGGTTCTTGATATTTTTGCAATTCTAATCATTGTACGAATAATCGGCAAGACTTCTATCGTGACGAATCGCTATTTTCATGAATTCAACGTTCTTATAATGCACAGATAAGGTTATTGCAACAAAAATATATTTGTTCCTTAACCTGACGTCTTATTTTATTTTCGGTAGTTGTATTTCGTGCTAGTTCGGTGGTTTAGGGTATGCAAAGATCGGTACCTAATGCGCGTTGAAGTCACACTTTCCGCAAGACTCATAAATGTGTAATTTCTTTTTGACTGGACCGAAATGTCTAGGCTCCAAACGCAATGGAGTTCCGGCTTTTCCAATTGTTTAAGTGCTGACTTGGGACTTGTAGTGAGGTTAATCTCCTGCACAATATTAATTTTATTTGTGGCTTCTCACTTAGAAATAGTGCATTTATGTTGCGAGATTTTTTGTTATGAAATTTAATCTTTTTGAATATAGCTGCTCTGATATATGGTAGAATATAGGCACTGAATCAAGAAGCTTAGAATTTTGCGAACGCTCAGGTGAGCTATGAGTTATTGCTTTAGAAATTAAATTGAGGATACATTAAATGTAACGGATTGATTTACTTAGTTCAACAAATTCTATATTATTAAAAATTTAAATAATTTGAATCAATATGAAACATACCAAGTGCATACACAAAGTAGTAACTATAAATAGGTTATTTTAGCGCTAATCATGCGCACATTAAATTGAAAAAAATTAGTATTACTTATCGCTAATTTGTCTGCAGAGTTTTCCAGGTTAGTATTGTATTCGTTTACGATGGCAGTACCCCGGAATAAATGGTTTTTCTCCTTACCAAAAATCAACCTTTCATTTCATTAGAATATCGACAGAAATATTAACCGGTGAATCTCGTTAACTTATCGTAGTTCATGGGCGACGCGATTGCGCGACTTAACCCTGGTGATGCTATAGATAGAACGATGGTCAGATAATTAGTGATTGACTGAGGCATTATAAGGATGCCTCAAAAACAAACAGGAAGCCGTGGTGATGCTCTTTGTGACGCGATTTTAAGTGATCATATATGGTAACTTACCCGTGAAAGGGATAAAATTAAACAATTTAATTTAGATTTTATATTGCTGAATTTCTTTTTCATATTACTGAACCCAGTTTATTTAGATGAAAATAACAGCAGATGCAGAACCTACTTAATCAACTCAACATGTGTCTAAGCTTTTGAAATATAAAAAAATTTTGCTAATTTAGATTTTGCTTAGTTCCAGAAGTTATAAATTAAGAGATAAATGGACTTTTAGGGAGAGAGCTGCAAAAATTAATTTGATTGTTGTTTTATAATTAACTTATCAATGTTACAGTTAGAAGGATAAATTACGAAGCAATTGAAATTTAAGTGAACGTAAAAACTTTCAGCAGTGACTGTAAAAACAAAGGCATTTGTTTCAGGTTAAAAAGTCAAAATTATTCATCATCATCACTTTTTTTAGGTGATGATGTCCATGAAGTTTTTTTACGATCCCAGAATAGTATATTATTTTACAGTCATTTATCGTAGATTGTGCATTATTTCTAAACCATTAAAGTTTTAAGCACAATAATATTATTTGTTGAGCGAGTACAGCAAAGGTCAAAGCGGGTTGTTTGGTGCTCCATATGTATTTAATGTAGAATTTACAGCCGCGCTTATTATCTTGGAGTGGTTTGCTTAGTATTCAATAATTCCCGATACCTTTGCATTAAAAATATCGCTAGTAATATCGCCTCAATAACATTTTTCTTCAAAAATTTTCACTGTTAATGAAGTGCGGTGTCAACCGTCAGAGAATTCCGTCTATTTACAAATTTTTACGTTTCAGTAAATTTCATTGTTAAAATTCATTAGATTTTACTTGCTTGTAAAATTGGCATGCCTATAAAGTTGGCAGTTCCTTACTTAATTTTTATTGTGCGAATCTTCCTTATAGTAGAAGGAACTGGTCATGTAGCTCTTCTTCTTAGAGTTTTATTACTGAATCGGAAGTGCCATTTTTCTCGTCGTACAATTTGAAACCTTCATTCGGATTGAATAAAATTTTTTGTTAAAAATAATTTTTCGCAGAATCCACTAAGGAATTAATTGGGAGCATATATTGAAAGTGCTATTTAATGAGAGTAATGAAAGTGCTGTTTATTAGTTTTTTCTATACGCAATATTCATTTAGCGACAATTTGCGCCATCATTAATTACCTCTCCAGGTTCAATTGACAAAAATAACTCCTCGAAATTGTATCGACGATTTCCTCACTGTCACGGAATAGTCTTGGCATGAAGACCAGCCGAGCCGATATCTCAGAATCTGCCTTCGAATCCTTATTATATTTCATAGAATTAAATTGAGTCTTATCAAGCATATGCATTCACAAAGGCGTGGCTAAAAGGCATTCATTATAATCCACAAGTCAAACGATCTGGTGCTAGCCTGATGTTCCGATACCGAAATCATTTTAACCAAAAACAATAATGCCAAGGTGAATCCATGACACTGAAGCCTAATTCTAGATTCACTTTCATCTGCCAAGCTCTTTACATGAGTGTCTTACTTTATTTACCGAGATTTGTGGTCAACCACTGGAGGTTTTTTACTGACCACAGGGTTCACCTATATAAAGATAGTGTGGCGTGGTCAGCTCATCATTCAATCGAACGGATCCACAACAACCAACATGAAATTCGTAAGTTACTGCTTTGGTTAAGTTAATAAAATGTTGTCAATTGAATTTTCCTTAAAAACTAATTTATTTAAGAACTCTAATATTATAAATATTCGTTGAAAAATTAGCGGTGCAGCTTCCGCCACTTACTTTTCAGCTTGATAATAATTTTAGTCATATCCCGAGGTTACAAGTGTTAATTAAGTTTTAATCTGTGAAAATATTTTTTTCTCCGTGATCCAAAAACTTGGAGTTTCAGATAATTAAAAATTGTAGTTTTTGAAATTGTTAAAACAATATCGTTTAAATTTATTCGATAATGTTTTTTCCCTTAGATTTATTTGCTGAAGTAAATTGCAGAACCGCTGGTAATTTGATAGGTAGAGCTTCCATCTTTGATTGAATTTTTATGTAAATTTGAACGACATCAAAGTAATTGGAAACTCATATGCTTTAGTTTCCTTTGCACATCAGATTGTGGTATCGAAAATTAAAAAGTATATATTAGAAAGTATACTTTGCTAAATTGTGATCAATAGTTTCGTTTATTAAATATCAATTAAACTTTTTGTTGTCAGGTCATCTTCGTTGCCCTCCTCGCTCTCGCGGCCGCCAAGCCCGACAAGCCCTCGGACGAAGTCACCGTCGTTCGTGACGACCGCGTGTACCCCAGCGCCAGCGGCGAGTACAGCCTCGACTTCGAGACCAGCGACGGAACCCACATCTCCGAGTCTGGTGATGGCACTGGCCCCGATGGCGCCGTCGAGTCCCAGGGAACCGTCCGCTTCGTCCACCCCGACGGTGAGAGCTTCGAGCTGAAATACGTCGCCAACGCCGAGGGAGGATACCAGCCCGAGTCCGATGCCCTGCCCGTGGCTCCTGAATTCCCCCACGAGATCCCCCAGTTCGTCCTCGACCAGATCGCCAAGGCTGCCGAGGAAGACCGCAACCGTGACAACAGCGAAGAAGAGCGAAGCTACGAATAAATATTTCGAAATTTCTGACTGGCGATGATGCTAATTGCGAAAAAATGACTGATCGAAACTGCCGAACGATCGTATTCGATTGCCGAACGAAACGACTATGTCGAACGACTAATGTAAAATATGTTACGTTGTGAATTTATTAAAACTCCGATCAAACAAATTTGTACTTTTTGTATTTTTCCTTAAAAACTTCGTTGTTTGTTCAAGAGGAGAGCACTCGATTCCGTCCGGTGCTTTTGCCTTCCAGAGGGCGGCTCAGCACTACATTACATTTACATTTGTCCAAATTCATCCGAAAAGCTGCTGAAAAGCATGACGGTTAATTTGACTTTTCTTTCACATGCCCAATTCAGGGTTGTAGACTTTTCAATGCCCTTTTGGAACTTCCTAATTCTCAATATTTAATTCATTGAATACTAGAAGATGCGGTAATTGAATTCGTTTGACGCTCCAATATTTTGTCAAAAGAATTGATGAATTGTTTTGACTAGAGAATTGAAATGGAAATGATGAAATTGGTTTTTACTCATTCAAGTAATGGTTGAATATTAGATAGAAAAATTGAATTACTTTTATTGAAATGATTTAAAGTATTTTTTAGGCTACCTTTTTTTAGCAATCCTCGTGTGCTTCCTAATTTCATGGGAGTCACGTGAAGATAACGTGTCGCTAAAACGTTGAGTGCGGTATGACCCAACAGGGTTGCCAGAGGGCCTAAAACGCCAATTCTGCGCACAAAAAGACCTATAACTCAGTATTTACTGGTAAATTTGTAGGTTTCGGGGATTCGGGCAAAAATTAAGTTTTATTTTGTACTCTTTGAAAATTCGTTAAGGAGTACCGATAGTATTCATTTTTGCCGGCAAACGCAATTGAAAAAAACTAAATCGCGGAATTTGTCCGGAAAAAAATACTCTGCAATTCACCGGTGAGTCTTACAGCATTCAACGCCTTAAGATCCGATAGTAAATTACGCACGGCTATTTTTTTTAATTTCTCAGCACAAAATTTCATACATGCAAAAAATTACGTTAGTTCATTAATTACTCCAGGAGGAATTCCTCAGAAAGCCTTCGCATCCCTTTCTTGACATTTTAATATTCTCTTTAAGTATTCTTCCATTTACTTTTTATATCCATGAGGAACTCTTTATAAATGCTTTCGCTTCTGCGAAGCCATTTGATCGTTCTTGATATTTTCATTGTTCTCCTGCAGCCAACCGTAAAATTCACGAGGAATTTATTCCATCAAAGATTGACTTGACTTCTGACCGTGGCCTTCTCTACGCTTTTTCTAACGCACGTGAAGGTTCAGGTCAGATTGCGTATGCAATCTCAGCTTCAAGTTTTGCCGTGTTTCGATCTACAAGTTTCTGACAGATTAAACTGCTTGAGTAAAAGATTGTATTACATCCATTCTAAGTTCAATTAATTGAAAGTCCTCAATTCTTTGAGCATCTCACGGTTTTTTCAAGACAGATTACATTTAATGAGACTGCATTTTACTAACAATTCGGCTATTTGAAAAATTGAGACTTTGGTTCATGGATAAGATACAATGATAAAACTGAACATCATATTAGAGCATGTCACAAAAAATGGTAAATTTCTAAAAAAATATAATTTAGTACTTGATTTCTTACATCCGGTAGTCCATATTAAGTAAAAAATATAACTATATATTCCATATATTAATATAACACATATATCCATATAGTCCATATTAAAAATATAACAGTACTTCGTTTGAATTTACAACGTAAAATGAGTGCCAGTTTGTTGTTGTTTCTCACACTGACGGTCATAAGTAAGAAGGGTTGTCGAAATCTTTTAGGAGAGGAAGGCTCATGGAAGAAGAGATGCTATAAGACCGAATGGGTAGCCACAAAGTCTCCCGCCTCCACGGGACTGTTCCATCCAGTGGAGACGCTGAGATTCGTAAGGTAGGATCGAGTTGCAGACTCAAAAATACTGGGTTGATGGAAAGGGACTTCTGCAATCACGATCGGCGGCGCTTGATGAGTGCATTAAATCTAAACATAAAATATGCCAGAGCATTGCAGTGGCCCGAGAGAAGCTGAGTCAGCGTTGAGCGGTGGTAGCATGAGAGTAAGGCCTCCTCAGATGCGGTCGGAGGTTCAGAGGCTTTTAGAATGTACAGTGCTCCTGTCGTCTATGTGATAGCGGCCTTGATACGATTGAGTATTACTCTTCCTACCGGGTGTCCCCGGTGACTTCTAGGATTTATGGTTGTTTGGGGGAAGATCTGGTTATTGAAGCCGGGGCTCGTTAGGTTAGGTAGGAGACGTGCAATCTGAGATCACACCGTTGCTCAATGAGCAACCTGGTACTCGGATTGACGATGGGGAAAAGTCCTTTGATAAACCTGCGAGGAAATGATGTCTAGACGCCGTTCCACAGTTCCATTGCGCTAGAATGTAAGCCGTAAAAAGTGAATTAGAGGACACATGAGTGCTGAGCAGATGCAGAAAAGGGGCAAAGAGGCAAGTGCCGTGCTGGGATCCATCCAGTCAGCCCGTCTACAGGTGGGACTGACTTACAGTGCTTCTTTACTGTTGCTTTTTCTCGTAACGTGCATGAAAAACTGTTTTTCATAATGGATTTTGAAGTTAAAGTTATCCACGTGAAAGAATCAACTATTTGAGAAATTCTTTCAAGTCTATCGTAGAAGAAATAAAGTAAATTATATCCGTGTGTATAAATTCTAAGTTGTAACATATAAAGTTTTACGATTTTTATTTTTATTATTAGTTTTCAATCGCCTTTGATGTGACCTCTAGCATTGGCGAGTTTAACTATCATTCTATTGGGTGATCGTGCCGTGGAGGTGCCTGCCGAGGAAGCTCTGTGATAATTTGTGATTGTTAAATTTTCTTGTGAATCGCGTTTTATTATATTGGTTTATTTCGTAGCAGTTGAATTTCATTTATTACTATTATGTTCATATTTTTCAGTAAGGTATTTTAAACATGCTATTTTTTTCTCCATTTCAAGAAGGCCTCAAGTTTTAAACTGATCGAATCCCAATATTTTGACTTGAATCTTATGGACAAATTGAAACGTGGATTGAATTTGAAGTGGATATAAACGCACGGTTAGGGTTTTAAGGGTGTTTGGTTTTGTAGGTTTGTTGTTTCTGCAATCTATTTTTTTATACATTTATTTCAAATGCTTGTTCACAAATAATCCTTTGTTCTGTAAAATATTTAAATTGAAGAGCGATTGCGGTCATTTGAGGCGAGGAAAGGCTAAAGATCTTTATTTGATCGGGAAAGTCCCTAACACTATGCACCTGGAATAACTAGAAAAAATCGATGAATGAATTGAAATACCAAAAGGAAACTATACCGCTGATATCGACTATCACGTTGATTCTTAAAGAACGGCGAAAAGATCGAGAAAATGAAGGTTGTTAATATTTTTCGTGGGCGTAACTTTCGGTACGCATCTATGTGCACGATATGATAACACAGTTTTGGTCTGGAGCGGAAAAGCTTGTTGCAAGTACCCTGGCCATGACGCGCTACCCGTGCATGCGATGAAAATTTGGCACCAAGGAAACTTGGTGCCTTGTTTCAAATTAACTTTCTGTTCCGGTAATCAAGACCACTAAATAAGGCCACCTGTTCGTACGGTTACTAGCATACTTTCTGTAAGTATAAGTGGAAAAAATGTCAGTGGAGAGTAGAGTAACCTGATCACCAACCCTATGCACCATCCTCTGTACGTCGGACGTAACCATTACCACCACCAACTCGATCTTGTAGGTCGGGCATAACTGAATTCCTAACCATCACCAGCAGATCTGGCGTTACTGCAACACCAACACCTGTAAGGCCGGGCGTTACTACAACTAATGACAGCACCACCTCATTTAAATCATGCATAAGCACAACCCCAACATCACCATTTTTAGATCAAGCGTAACTAAAATACCATCACCACTTCTTGTAGCACGAGCGTACCTACAAACACTCTTGCATGTCGGGTTGCCTTGTACAACCTGTCAAACACCTTAATTAAAAGGTAAGTAATTCTATAACTACCAGCACACTCTGCAGGTTGGACTTAACTGCAGCCACTAACAACTTTGAAGGTCGGGGATAATTGTAGCCTACAACAAATTTGCAGATAGAGTGTTACTGCAACATCTAACACTTTTACGGGTGGGGGTGGTATGATCCAATTAAACTTCCTGCAAGTCGGACATAACTACAACCGCCACCACCTAATCCAGGCCTAACTTAATTACAACCAAAAGTCCACAACTACTTTCTGCATGGAGGTCATTAGTAACTGTAAGCACGAGCACCGCACTTGAGGATGACCGTGAAGGAAGATTATATCACTTATACTACTTGACGAGCTCATTATTTCAACAACCCGACTTGAAAGTAGGAAAAAAGTGGATATGATTTTGAATATTGTTGGAAAATAGTGTAATATTCTTACCGTATCAACAGGAAGGAAAAGTCTGTACAAGCCTCCTAGTTATAAATCAGCTCTCTGCAAAACCAACCTATGACCTATAAAAAAGTCCTATATGAAATCGGGAAATCTAAGATGCGAAATGCTTTAGTGGAACCCGTCTCTCGGAATAGGTTGTGCTCCGTAATAGGGCATGTTTTGCATACAAAAATTCACTAATTTTTTTTACATTTATCGCACTGTAGATGTGTCGCCTGAAATAAGTTAATTAGTATTTTTTCATCTATAATATAAACCTTATTCATTAGGTAACAAAATATTAATTTGAATCAAGTGTGAAGAGCTTTCGCTTATGAGTCGGTCTATATTTATGAATTCGCGCTTTTTCCGATGTCGAAATTTGAAATATTTTTTTTTTCAAGACTAACTGATGTGACAGGATATCGCTGGCGCCCGCGGCGATTATTTTCAACGAAGCTGAAGGAGTGTATTTAATTTAATTTTAACATTTAATTTTAATCGAAGCTAACAATAATCCCCTGTAAAGATATAAATTTAGACGGGAGGTTCAACGGAAACTTGTTTAACATGCACAAAACAATACTTAGATCACGCAAGTGTTAACTTGAAAAATCTATACGCCAAATTGATTTTTCACATAATAGAAATTAATTTCTAGGGAAAATTATGTTTGGGATGAAACTTGTTTCTCAAGTAAATATCTTCGCGTCATCATGGAAACTTGATAAAATGTCATTTTTATGGCTACTGAAACAATACTTATTATTGACTTGACGAAAAATGTTGGCCTGGTAATGAATATACGTTTGTATATTATTTTTGGTTGCACCAGAAAAAAATTCTTACATCCAAAGCCTCTGTTTCAAGTAGAGCTTGGAATAATTTATCATGTTCCACTCTACGTTATTCGTTGACTCGTTGAACGCGCTGAAAATATAGATGGCTTTCTAATTGCTAAAGTTGGAATTATAATTTTTATTTATAGGAAATTTAAACCAAAAGGTAACGTTTATAATTCTTTATTTGTGGAGATTCATAAATAGTGTTGAAGTGAACAACTGACCATTCAATGGTGAGTTATTCTTCTGACCAAAAATATTATCGCAACCGAAATCTTAGTTGTACGAGCGTCTGTCTTCGTCAGAGTCGTCTCTCTGGGTCGCGGCGAAGGCGATCTGATCGAGGACGAACTGAGGGATGGGGTGAGGGAATGTCCCTGCTCTGCGCGGGAGCGGCGTAGCGGGAGTCGGGGCGGGCGGCAGCCACGGCCAAGAGGCAGGCGAAGATGAACTGAACACAATACGGGGGTTTATATAGTTAATGATAAAATAGTAACGAATAACGGAGGCTGATGTTTCCAATATAAAACATCATCAATAATGGTTTATATTGGAATTAGATTAAGGTGTATTCTATTAAAATATCTAATCATGATCATTCATTTAATCTTAAACCGAACACTATCTGATGTACATTTAAATCAAAACAACTGATGAATGTTTTGGAGATAGTATATGTTAATTGTGCTCAATGAAAGACGATAAAATATGTTCCTTTATCATTTTATAGGCAAAAATTATTAAATTTTCAATCTTTTAACAGCCCATATTAAAGTAAATTATAGTTTGCACGTTCAATATTTCAGAAACCACCTTGTTTTCTTTTCAAGAAGCCTATGAATGAACTCAAAGAAAAATTTTTTGTGAGAGACGAAAGTTTGATATTTTACAACTCCTTGATACTCATCCACTCTTTCGTTTCTCGAATTAGATCGTTTAAAATTTCGGGTTTTATTTATATAAAGAATTTGATGCAAATGTTAAATGCATGGTACCCAATTGAAATTTTCTTTAGCTTGCTAGATTAAAACTTTCTCCGTCGCTCGGTCAATTCATTATTTTACACGACGTTTCTTGTACAGCTTATAATATTAGTTGTGCTATATAATGTTACATTTTTGGATTTTAAATTTTATTTTATTCGAACAAACACACAAATTTATTTAAACATTATTTCGATACATTATATCAAATATTGAATGAATCTATATATTGAAATGTTGGCTTCTGTAGCTCACTTACTGCCAATACATTATATCAATATTGAATGAATCTATATATTGAAATGTTTGCTTCTGTAGCTCACTTACTGCGTTCATGATGCTGAAGTGTCTGTGGATTGACTGATGCAAGCACACAGAACTGTGGTGGTTTTATATGAAACTTTAGGAAGTTCAAGGCAGACGGCAAGGCGTTCCCCTCGCCTCGGGATGGCTTCACCACGCGAGAGAGCTCGAAATTTTGGAAGGTCACAGTAGCAAGCGGTCCCTGGTCACGATGATTATAGGGTTATGGAGCCACGGCATACTTAACATACTTCTTCAGCTGCATTGGCCGACATGAATGTTTGATGTAAAAAGATCGACGTTGTTTGATGCAAAAAAATTGCACTCAAAGAAAAGTAAATTAGGGGTTGTTTGCAGTGATCTTCCCAGGTAATATGAATAATGCTCATGTTTCTCGTCTTTGTGCTGTAAATTAGATAGATTTGCTCCTAATGTCTGCGAGCACATTTCAGCGTTCCTAGTAGTCAATCTCAAATAAAAATTTAGAATGATTCTGAATAATAATCGACATATAACGTTCAAATTAATCATCTAAATTTGATTTCTGGTGACTACGAACCAGTTGAAATGCACCCAGGATGTACAATAACTAATCTACAAACTCGCGTAAATTTTCCCGATAAACTTGGAGACCTCGGAATGAACCGCCACATATGAGTTTTTTTTTATAGAGATCCAGCCATTTTGCTTCAACCCATGGTTGAACTATATATCGAGTCGAGTCGAGTCGAGTCGATCTACTAGTTCAACCATGCATCAACCTATCCATTCAATTAAACATTCGGTGGAAAAAATATTAAACCACCACCAAATTGTAAAAATTGTTCATTCATCGCCGTACGCAGATCCATATTCATTTGGTAACCTCGTCAGTACAACTCAATCGGAAAAATTTATATAACAAAATTCACCATGAGAACAGTTTTGATTCGTGCACCTTGCATGTGAGCTTTTTCTGGACTAATTAATTTTTGTCTTCGACGGATGAACTGAAGTCTCAATCAAGCTCGTGGGCGCACAAGCATTTTACTATTTCCATTTGTGCATGTTGAATTGTAGACACAACAATGTGTAGAAGATTGCTGTTGAGTATCTTTAAAAGGTCTATTTTCATCATCAAATATAACCTGAAATCCATTTAATTAGGCATTTCAACCACCAAGTCAGGTCAGGCGAATATTTCTTGGACTATTGCAAATTTTTTTCGCGGTATTTTGTTAACTTTAATCCAGTTGTGACGCCTTCCATGAACCAGGGTTACTCTATTCCCCAATTAAGATATAATTTATTGCTTGATTGATTAGCACTGATTTCCTCATTATTTCATGGTATGAGTAACTTAATTAGCGGAGGAGCTCCATTCAGTATGATTTAACTGAAATTATAACTGCGCCTACCAATCTTCAAGGCAAAACGTTTAAAGTGGTCATTCTATGCATAAAATTGTTAATTGGTAAAATTGGTTTTTTGTTTGATGTTCAATTGCATAAACGTTGTTCTTGTATGATATAGGTTGGCCTTTGTCTATTTTATTTTACAAGTTGTTCAAAGAAAAACCACCCTTATTTGAGGTCACTTGTTACGTGCTCGAAATACATTGAAACATGAAAAAGATTCTTTCGGAGCATTCGCGAAATAAATGAATATATTAATACTTTTATTGCATTTCAATTTAAAATAACGTATTTACGCTCTGAAGCTTGAAGTTGCCTTCTAAGTTTAAAGTTTCTTCAGTTTTAATATTACATATCAAATTTAGTCCTCAGTGAAGTACAAGTATGTCACTTCGTCGAAAGAAATCTTCCGTGGTAACTTTCTAGGAATTTAATTATCCTGACAAATATGGACATTGAGCTACACTAACCTCAATGATTATTGTTCGAGTTAACTACCTGTTTTTATATTTAAATGATGTTTAAATTTTGTTCATGAACTAACGTACCACTGATATATTTTCGTACATTTTCACTATTCATTCATTATTCATATTATAAAATTCAACCTGTTTTAGTTCTGTCGTTTCCAAGTTTTGTCTGTTTATCACAACTTCATGCTCACACCACAAGCCAGGTTCTGTGTGAGTAAGATAGAAGCAGAATGACTGAAAATTAAAGTACACGAGAAAACGATCGGTAAATGAATTTATCGAATTTTATCAACTAAGTTTTCGAAATACATTTTTTAGCGCGTTGTCTCATTTATGGAAAAAATGCACTATTGTGCTCGCCATGTCCGTCTGTCCGTCTGTCTGTCCGTCCGTGACTTCACGTTTTCGACGAGAAAATGCGCTCTCTGTCACTCACTGCAGTGAGTACTGGATTATATTTTTCTATAAGGTATCTGTTCTTGCATCCCTTGACTACTGGAAATTTTCTGGTACTCCACGCAGCAAAAATCCCTCCACCTCTAAGTCGTGGTTCCGCAAAGAATCCTTGAAAATTTTATTGATGGATTGTTAAACTTTGTCCAGCAACATTTTTTTAATAAAAGATTTTCACTCTAACCGATCTGTGAATTTTGCATCGGCAAGTTTCATCCGTCACCGACGATCGTTAGTATATTTATACTATCTATAACAAAGAGTAATGGAATAATAATGTTGATCGATCTTTGCTGCAATATTGCATGCATATTTGAACATCGCAAATTCGTTTACGATTGCAGATGAATTCTGACAAATGTAATTTCGATTACGAAAAATGAAACAAGATTTGGCACAGAATCAATTTATCCACAATAAATACAAATAAATACAACAGGTTATGACGAACATTTTTTAGAATGTGACCACCAGTCGGGCAGATTACTATCCCAGTATCTTAGTTGTACGAGCGTCTGTCTTCGTCGGAGTTGTCTCTCTGAGTCGCGGCGAAGGCGATCTGATCGAGGACGAACTGAGGGATGGGGTGAGGGAAGGCAGGGGCCACGGGGAGAGCTGTCCCTGCTCTGCGCGGGAGCGGCGTAGCGGGAGTCGGGGCGGGCGGCAGCCACGGCCAAGAGGCAGGCGAAGATGAACTGAAGGCAAAAAAATTAAAGTCATTATTTGGGAAAACGTTTTTAAGGTAGTAGATAATGGCGAAGCTTATATTATGCCGTTTGTCTCACCGATTGCTTTGATATGTTTATTTATATTACATTTTTAGTCTTGATAATTTTTTTAGAATCGTTTACACTCAATTTATAAAGAAATTTACGTTCACCCCGCATACGCGAAGATTGTGAATCCATCTTTAATTCATTTTCGCCCTTGATAAGGCGATGTAATTTATTTTTTTGATGACTTTTGAAACCATTTCAGCTGAGTAAAAAGCTCAATTGGCAACACTAATGTACAGAAAAAAATTATATAAAGCCCTGTCTCGTTCCCACAAAGAGGTATTTCTCGAAGATGAATTAAATTCTACTTCTTGGCGAATCATTTCTTTTTTAGTCGTAAAGTAGTGCCAAAAGTTTCTCAGTCGAACATGCTTCACTACAAGTTAAAAAATTGTTTATGTTTGACTTTGTCCGCGTCCACATTTCTTTCATGAAGAGATACTGAAGTATTTGATACCTAACATTCTGGTAAATTGGATATGATTAACATTGGTCATCCAATGCCCAACCAAAAATTATACCATAATAAAAACATATCAGGTACGCACTCCCGATCATAGATCTTTCATCCAGGATCATCACTGCACCGAGGTCTGTCAACTTAGTTCATGCAATCCTGAAGCTGGTTAAATATTTTACAATTTTCAATTTTCAACAATTCGCAAGAAGCGTACTCACAGCGTTCATGTTGCTGACGTATCTCAAGATGGACTGGTGCCTGCAAGCACAGACGTCTCTGCTTTATAGGAAAACTGAAAGAGTTCAAGGCAGTCGTGGAGTTCCTTCTGCTTCAAGGATTGATCAAGTCGATCAATTCAAGATCATACCTTGCAGGAGGTCATTTTCGTTAATTGTTCATAGACGTTGGCCTTGGCACACCCAAGGCAAGAATAATAACACTAAAATAACGGGAGCATGTAGAAAAAATGGATGGTCAAGGAGTTACCGTATTGTAGTTTTTTCTCGTCTAAATTTACAGGTCATCCAGTACACGTGGTTCGCTTACCCAACATACTTCACTTACATGAAGCATTTCACTTTCATAATAAACTCCCACGGATAAAATTATTTGAATTTGTATACGTCGGATTTTTTTCAGTATCGTTACTTAAGTTAGAATGTTTGAATTTATATAGATAGTATAGTAGTACAGCCCATATAAATCATTTCCGTTGCAAACATTCATTTCATAACGTGGCAGATTTATCAAAAACACGATGAAAAAATTGTAGACAAAGCAAAATCTTTTTCTATATATGTATCGAGTTGACCAATGCTCCAACAAAAACATATCGAGCTGACGGCTAAATCAATCTGGGTATAAAAAATATGCATATTTTAATGATATGATTTTTTGTAATAACCGTGACAATTTTTGCATGATATTCACATTAAATATCAGATAATAATTACATTTACCGCGATTTTATGGGAACTATAATTTAGTTTGATCTATGGAAGAGCTTTCAAGAGCCGTATCGTTATTTTCACGCTCCACCTGATTTTGGCTGTTGCTCATATGGATAGGGTTTCATATCAAACGAAAGAGCGGCCACGTTTAATTTTGGGAGGCAGCTGCTTTCTAAACAGAATTCCAATCCTCGAACAAAATTCAAAATTTTCATTTTACCTTGAGAAATAAGCTTGTATTAAATTTTTCTAAATTAAAGCCAATTTTTGCCATGAGGCTGGTAAAACTCTGAAATATTTTTTCAAACCAATGTGATTCTTTAGAATATTTCTAGTGCATTTTCAATCATTTGGAGAATAAAAAAAAATTATTTCAAATCTTCAAATTTTTTTGTATGTATGGAAGCTTATGCAGTTAACCGAAGGTTGTTATTTGTTGGTTCCAGATATACCGTAAACACATGTGAAATGTCAAATTTTAACGCTCAGTCCTATAGGAGTTCATTATAGGGAAGTCATCTCAATTTACATGAAATAGAAACGAACACACGCGTGTAAGGTATTGCTAAGAATATTGCGAAGGCGAAACTTACGATCATCAAATTGTTTGTAATGTAATCAAATTGTTTTCATTAAAAATCAGTTTTGTTAGTTTCTGTTAGCTTTTAATTTCCGCTCATTGAAAATCTCCATATATATGTATTACATTTATAGTAGAATTTCTGATATAGAAATTCTCTCCAAAGTAGAATTTTTCATTAGTTATCGCAATGTACCATATTATTGCATAAATTTTATAGACAACTCTTATTTACTTATATATAATTGATGTTCTGCTAAATTTCTCAAGATTTCAAATTCGACTCCCGAATCGAGACTCGCCATAATTCAATCTCTATTATCTTTAATCATGCCAATCATCTAATTGTAAATCCAGAAAATGGCTGGTCACCTTCAAACTCAGTCCTTTATAAAAGCAGTAGAACTTTTAGCGTTAGTGTCCGTTCAGAATTAATTGTACATGTTCTATAATTACTTCCAGCGCGTATTTTTTGTACCAGAAATAGGTGGTTGAGGAACTTTAAAACGCAGTTTAGCAATTGTTGTTTGATTTTAATTAATATTCTATTGATTTCTACAGTGCCTATAGTATACGTGAAACGCAGCGGTTCAGGGATGTCCTTGATCATTTAATATATCTGAAATAGTTATTTTTTATTTTCATTAAATTATTTGACAAGCCTGAGTGTGGCCATATATAAATTTTGCTCTTTCTACATATGGATGGGGAGATTATTCTATTTCTAATATTTCTAATTCGTAGTTATGACACTTTTACATCGAGTTTAACTATCAATTATTGCAGAATAAACTTTGTCGTTTGAAACTCTTTAGTTGTCTCTTTTAAGTAAGCAGAAATGTTTTTTGTGGAATATTTTTATTTTAATTTATTATTTTATTCGTCAGTCTGTTTCACGGCGCCATTCATTTTGTACTGGATTTGTTTCGTGGATTGAGCGGAAGCGTCGTTCATAAAGTCTAATTTAAATAATAGTTAATTAAGTAGAATGAAATTTTCCTTTGATATCTGTAGAACTTTGTTCAGCGACAAGTTCCAATTTATTGCTGCAAAAATTCATTTAACTGTTGAAAATATTATTCGATCTCCTTTGATGTTGTAAATGTTGTTTGATGCAGATGGAGGGGAATTAGTCGAGTATCGATACAATTTTGGTTATATAAATTATAATCAGTAAATGAATTAATTCTTGGCATATATTATATTGAATGTGACTCTAAATTTAAGTGGATGGTTTTCTTATATTTATGAATCATTTTTGTTTTATGATCTTTTAATTAACTATTATAGGAAATTTTAGGTAATTATCAGCTCAAATAGTACCTTATTAAGGATTTAGAAAAAAGCCTGTTTGCGAGCTTTATCATTTGTTAATAACAAAATAGTAAAAAAAATTAAAGAAAAATAATAAAATTCAACTTTTTCATGCTTTAAGCCATTAGTTTTGATAATCACAAGTGTACAGATCGTTTAACTTCATCATTCGGAATTGAAGAATAACGCTTATTTGCGAGTTTCGACACTCATTGATAACAAAATTATGCATAAATAAAATAAATCAATTAAAATCTAAATATTTCGTGAAAAAAATAAGTATTTGATAATCACATAAACATTTTTCAATCATCTTAGTTGTATGATCGTCTCTCGTCGGAGTTGTCTCTCTGGGTCGCGGCGAAGGCGATCTGATCGAGGACGAACTGAGGGATGGGGTGAGGGAAGGCAGGGGCCACGGGGAGAGCAGCAGACTCGGGCTGGTATCCACCGGCGGCATCAGCAACAAACTTCAGTTCGAAGGGGGTTCCATCGGGGTGGGTGAAGCGGATGGTTCCTTGGGTCTCGACGGCGCCATCGGGGCCTGAGCCGTAGCCGGACTCTGAGATCACGATGCCATCTCCGGTTTCGGTGTCGGTGCTGTACTGTCCAGCGGCGCTGGGGTACACGCGGTCGTCACGCAGGATGGGGACCTCGCGGCTGGCTCCGCCAGATCTGGGAGCGGAGTAGCCTGAGTCGGGGCGAGCGGCGGCCACGGCCAAAAGGCAGGTGAAGATGATCTGAAATGAAGTTGGTTAATAGTGATATTACATTTTATGTAAGACCTAATGAGAATACCTTGCCGTATGGTCAATAATTCGAAAATACGTTTATTTTTATTAAAATTATCATGGACAATCCGGTCTTTGATTGTTAGTTCTTAGCAACGGATCACTTATTTTGACTGTTGAGACATCAACAAAAATGTACAATGTAAGAGTGGACACAAGCAATATACCGCAACTTATTATGAAATGGCTGTGTAAGCAAAATCTTCGTATGATTCTCATTCTTACTGCTGTCTTAAATATAAATCGATTTCAGGCGTGCTTCAGATATTCCTCTGAACGCGGGTGTAAAGCATTCGTTTGGTTTCCGTAAGTTAGTTATCGAAGTTACGTAATTTTAATGCAACAGGATTATTTTCTCAACATTGTAGAGAAATCTATAATTTTTTACTTTGTTATCTCACGAATCGATGGTGAGTCAAAAAGTATTCATATTCAATATTAGTCAATTTCAAAATTAACAAAATTTCTCAATAAATTAGAGAGTTGATCAGGATGAACAATTTTTTTCTTCTCAAATATCACTTCGTTCAATCTCTAACACGACAGAATCCGCATTAATTTTTAATAGAAATAAGTTTGAATTTCCCACTGGATTGCCGATGAGAGATTAAATGCGAATATAAGTGTTTGTTTTGAGGTAAAAGCTAAGATACTAATCTACATGTATGTTAATATAGCCTATACATAAATAAATAAATACCCGATATGAGAGGGGCAATGTGTAGTTGGTGTCGCCGGTGCTTTCGAATTGGGGAGTACTACCAACATACATGGTATCCTACCATGCCTGGACTAGCATCCTACTATTTTGTAGGATTTTTGAAAAATCATCTGTACCTCATAGAGCACGAACGAAACTTATTTAATATTATATAGTAAATAATACAAATTAAAAGTGACTGCCACGAGTCGGACTTACAGCGTTCATGTTGTCGGTGCGTCGAGAATATGACTGATGCAAGCAAGCACGAGCTTGTCGGTTATATAGGAAACTGAGGGAAGAAGTTCAAGGCACCAGACGCGCCTTGCTTGGGAAACCTCGCAGAGACAAGCGCGATGTCGCAAGAGGAGAGTGAAGTTTGGCGGAGGCTTGGCTATCCTTGAGTAGCATTAGTTAAAATAATTAAGATATCGTTACTTAATGCGATGAAATTACTGTTTGGCTATACTGGAGTGGGATTATTTAAAATAATTGATATGCGCATGTTAAACATAATTCAGCCTTGACATTAACAGGCATGCGTACTGTGGTTGTAGACCAAGCATTAAAATCCCGATAACGTTTCAAATTACGTAGCTTTATTTTAAATAGTGTTGCTCCTGCCATGAAAGCAACGAAATTTTTCACTAAAAAATGCTAGGATCTCTCCGGACAGCAATCCGTTCAGCATGGCAGAAATATTAATCATAAAAAACAAAGGTTGTACATTTTGCCTACAAAAATAGACCCTGACGTTATAGGGCGGAGAGAAAGAGTCGCAGCATTGCTGCTAGAACGACCTGAGTGTGTAGAACACGAAGCTCTGCACATGGCTATGTTGCATCAGTACATAACATCGGTACTGTTTCTACATATGGCTATGTTGCATCAGTACATAACATCAGTACTGATGTTTCTACATTAACATCGGTACTGTTTCTACATATGGCTATGTTGCATCAGTACATAACATCAGTACTGATGTTCCTACACATGGCTATGTTGCATCAGTACATAGCATCGGTACTGTCTCTGCACAAGGCTATGTTGCATCAGTACACAACATCGGTACTGATGTTTCTACGCATGGCTATGTTGCATCAGTACACAACATCGGTGCTGTTTCTACACATGACTATGTTTCATCAGTACATAGCATCGGTACTGTCTCTGCACATGGCTATGTTGCATCAGTACATAACATCAGTGCTGTTTCTACGCATGGTTATGTTGCATCTATGCATCGCATCGGATTGATACCTCACTGCTATATACGGCCCAAAATTTTCTTATTATTGGTGTATTTTGCAGTCCATTTCGTATAGATTCACTGAAGAAGTCATTAGCAATTTTCAGCTGCCAAGCATAATAAATTGTTCCCCTGTACATTCCTAATAGAAAATTTGAGTATAGTAATTAATAAAAACATTATCGGACAACAACTTCATAAGTTGAAAGTGTGAGATCGCAAACATGGCTGCGAAAATCATGTCAATCTATTTTGTGTATCTGGATTACTGTGGCACGTAAATTTACGAACCATTTTAAATTATAAAATTCAATGTAAATCTGAAATTATTTTTTCTACATTTGGCAATGTTACGTCGAAGATTCCTTCAGCCAGCCATAACGAACGTCAACAGTCTAAAAATTTACCGTAAACCTTTTGCATTTTCCCATAGAAAATATAAATGCTTTTATTGCAAGATATTTACAACTTCCGATAATAATATTTATGGAACACCCATTTAAAATGCCCTTCGCCAAGAAATAACACAAAAAGTTGCTCGCAAGAAATTCATGTGATAAGTAATACTGAATTTTTTATCTTGCTATCAAAACATACATTTGCATGAAATCGAATGCATATATCATAGCATCATTACAATTACCCATTTATTCAGGTTTTTATTATGGAGTAAAATCTACCTCTACTCCGAAATTCAGTGGATGTGTCAGTAAAAAATCTACCCGTACTCGGAAATTCAGTGGATGTGTCAGTACAAAATCTACCCTTACTCCGAAATTCAGTGGATGTGTCAGTACAAAATTTACTTCTACTCCGAAATTCAGTGGATGTGTCAGTACAAAATCTACCCCTGCTCCGAAATTCAGTGGATGTGTCGGTACAAAATCTACCCCTACTCCGAAATTCAGTATATATATACATATATATATATATACTATATATATATATAATTCAGTATATGAATCAGTATATACAAAATTTAGCCCGTACTCCAAAATTCAGTGGATGAATCAGTTTATACAAAATTTAGCCCGTACTCCGAAATTCAGCGGATGTGTCAGAACAAAATTTACCCATACTCCGCAATTCAGTGGATGTCTCGGTACAAAATCTACCCCTATTCAAAATTCAACGGATGTGTCAGTACATAACACGCAGGAAGTGGTCAAAGCTTGCAATTAATTACCCTTAGGGCCCGATAATCCATGAAGACATGAATAGGAAATATAAAGTCATTGTCAGATCATTCATTCAGTTGCTCATTTTCTTTTAACATCAATTTCATCGCAATCTGCCTCCCACGATGCCGCCGATGACCCGTCGATAGGTCATATATAATTTACCTGGATTAAATGTTAAGCTAATATTTTTTATTTTATCTAAAATATCGAGTGTTTGAGCTGCGACTATTAATAACAGCATTTATATTTTCCGAATGTTCTGAAATTTCTATGATTGCGAAGGTAGTGAATTAATATCCAGGTACATACTTGAACAATTTTAATTTACAACGGTCTTTGATTACATTCACAAAAGTTCTGAATTGAAAATGTATTCTTGGTATTTATATGACTTTACGTCATTCGAACATTTTTTTAACAATGGTATAAGTGAAATCATATTTGTAAATTTTACGGCTGACCCTTGTGTTCAACGATGTCGTACTTCGTTTATTTTCCATGTTTTTATTCAATCGCAGTATTAAAATAGTGGCGATACCACGCTTATATTATTACTTGGTTGAAAGCATCCAGACAATAATTCTGGCCCGATGAAGACGATAATGACCGAGAAGGTGCAATTTTGTCCCTCCCATAAAACGAGCGTGAGTGGGTTTTTGCAACGTAAAAATACCTTGCGCAATGTTTTCCCATTTAGAGGAAGAGAGAAGGTGAGAGCAGCCTTCTCTGTACGGGCCGGTGGGCGTCATGGTTGATAATTTGGCAATTTTCCTTTCATTTTTCGGTCCTAATCGGGCATGCCACGTTCTCGAATCGAAAATAAATACATACACAAGTATATAGTGTATTGCAATACCGTGCAAAAGGATAGAAACGCGGGAACGCAACTCTAATCTTCATCATAACACGGAACGAAAGTAAAAGTGAACTCTTGCACGTGACGGACAGGCTTTAGTAGATCATCGTGTCGGTACTACCTTGTCCTCCAAACAGACATAACGCATGCGTATTTGCTCCAGCAATCTAAGGGTAAGATTGAGTCTAGACACGCATGACAAACTTGATTGTAAGAGTATTGCAGACAGAATGCACATCTTCAGGTTTAATATCCATGAGTTTGGGTCCAAAGTGGAATATTTTTAATTGAATTGAATATTTTATTCGTGCAGTCTCTTTCTCGACACCATTCGATCGTTTTGTATTGGATTTGCTATCTTCTGAATTGAGTGGACTATTGTGCATTATTTTATCAACATTTTACTAGTAGAAAACTTCCAAAGGCATTTATTGCCAGCGCGAACTTTTATCAACTGAGGAATCTTGAAAGTTTTTAAAAGGTTCTTCAACTTTCCGAACACATGTGAGGTGAAATTCAAACTAAAAGGTGGTCAACATTTGTGTTTGTTAAGGTAGATGGGAGGAATAAATCCTAATTGAGCACAATTACTACAGCTTACTATAAATTTATGTATGAAGGGATCATGGATCTACATGTGGAATTTATGTGAATTTTAAAACTTACTAATGTATTATCGAAGTGATTGTTTAGCAGTTTTTCGACCCACTTTCCATCTGGATATATTCAATAAATGTGATTTTCAACGGCTTACTTCCTGTCCTTTGATTATTATGCACGTTGTTGTGTACATGGATTTTAATACAAAAAATGTATCATCGCTGTTTAAGAATTTTAAATTGTGATCAAGGCAAATTACAAATACAGATGAGTGAAGTGAGCACGATGAACAGGCGTAGCTCTGATAACATGGACTAGATATGAACTAGTGACAATCAATGGAACTGAAAAGTACACGAATTATAATGAGCGTTGTCAATAGGTGTGCACTCTTTGCAATCGATAAATCAGTCAATCAACAACTCTATTTTAAATTTTCAATCGTATTATCTAGTATTATATGTTATTTTTATGATTTTACTTGCATGAAGAAGTTACTTATATTCAAGAATGGTTGATGCTGGCTTATAAAATGTTGAAAAAATATTTGACCTAATAAATAATTGTGGATTTAACAAGAACACAACACTAAAATACAACAAATTTGACAATTTCATGCGCAATGACTTCCGATTATATTTTCAAATACTTTTTAACATGAGTTATTTACTGACTATTCCTGGTAAAAAAATTGAATTTTAAACCACATGAATTAAATGTGGATAATCACATTTTACTTCAGTATGTTATTGCAGCCATGTTGGCTCGTCAATAAAATTTCAAGCAGGACATGAGGATATAGAATGTTTTTGATGACCTCTTGTTTTCACTCTTCTGTTATTTAGCGTGCGACTGTCTTGAGTTTGACCTTTAGAAAGAGTGAATGGAAAGACGATGGGCGAAGCAAGCTCCTTGCTTGTCACATGTCTTGGCTGCAACGAACGATACTAACGTCGATAATGCGAGAGACCTGAACAACGTCTGGGGAATGACGTTATCAGAGACCGAAAACTGATGTTATTAGACTTGAGACTGATGTTATTAGAGACTTGAGACTGATGTTATTAACGATTGGAGACTGATGCTTTTAACGACTTGAGACTGATGTTATTAGCGACATGAGACTGAGGTTTTTAGTGACTGCATGGAGACTGATATTATTAGTGAATTGATACTGATGTTATTATCGACTGGAGACCGATGGTATTAGCGACTGGAAACTGATATTATTAGCGAATTGAGACTGATGTTATTAGTGATTTGAGACTGATGTTATTAGAGACTTGAGACTGATGTTATTAGCGACTTGAGACTGATGTTATTAGCGACTTGAGACTGATGCTATTAGCGACTTGAGACTGATGTCATTAGCGACTGAAGATTGATGTCATTAGCGACTTTGAACTGATG